TATTTTTTGTCCTAATCAAAAATGCTTATAAAGTATTTTGCTACTTATGAATTAATTAACGAGATAGCTTAATTGAAGGAATATCTGATTATTAAGATTTACACGAAAGATCAATCTAGTAAGGCATATTCAAATTCATACAGAAGAGAAACCGTGTAACTCCGATTATTGTTTACAAAAGTTTGCTTACAAATACAGTTTAAATTCTTACATGAAATGTCATAAGCAAAGACATTCGTAATTAACATAAATATTGTAAAACTATGAAATTTGAAAGAAATAATATAATTCCCAACCTTGCTGTTTATTCATTTTCTACGTCTTTCAGCTTTTCTACCTGACAATATAACAAATTTAAAAATTTTAGTGTAAAAAAAAATTTTACAATAACGGAACTCGAAACAACAATCATGTCAACATGAAACTAACGCTCAAAACTACACCACAGGCCACATTGTCCACAATATAAATTATAAAGGTGTTAACTGATTGTGAAGTGACTTCAACGTCATGCTGTTACTCGTAAGCACGTAATGGTCCACGTAGTTATATGCTAATTTCTTAGATACTTATATGTGTGAGATCACAATAAATACACGTNTTCGATCGATTTATTATTTATCGGTCTACAAAGCAAGAGAAATCATGTTCAGAATAAATATATAGGTTCGACAGTGTTAGGTTATACACTCCTTTCCCTCGTAAGGGACGAAACACTACATGATGACACCCGACGTGGAATAGCCACGAGCAATGTGACTCGACGCGCTAGGCGTATCTTTAACTGATAACTTATCAGTTTAAGGCTTGCTTTTTCTTCAGTTTTTAATGTAAACTTGTAATTATACTTTGTGTGAATGTCAGACACATACACACAAAGCATAAAACATACACGGGGCATCCATGTCCGTTTATTTAGGCTATAGGACATACGAAATAAGTGTTGATGAAAAAAAGATCTAAAGATTTTATCATCTGTTACTAAAAAATAACATCTAATTGTTCATTCTTTGTAAAATTAGAAATTGGAAAGTCATTTTCGGGTCGAGAAAAAATCTCCATATTCCCCCACATATCTATATTGTTTAAACACTTTTTACAATAGATGTTCATTGATTAATATTCTGTTGGCGTAACGATTTTTACTTTCAAGCTTCAGGATTGTATAACAAAATAATGGAAAATTCCAGGAAATCGCATTATGGGACTAGCATTATCTAAATATATAAAATTACTCGTCCTGACTGACTGAATGACTGATTCGTCATCGCCCGGAGCAAACCGCTGAACCTAAAGAGGTAAAATTTTTCGAAATTCCTAGGCGGAGGGAAGAGGGAGACAATTAAAGCTTAACCGGAAGAACGGCTTTTACTGTACTATTTTAGATGCAAATTTTCGTTTTTAACTGCGTTTAATTTTCATTAAGTATGTGACCGGAGGGTCGGCACCTCATCGATGCCTTGTCAGGATGACACAACCGCGTCTCGGTTGACACGGAAACCTAACTATATCATGCGAGCGGTCGCTTAACGGAGCGATCAGATTCTGGATGGAGGGAGTGAGAGACAGAGAGAGAGCTTACAATAATTCGCGTGGCGATAAATACCTGGAGTTTGGTTGATTTTTGAATACTTGATAATAAGGTTCTTGAGATTAATAATCCAAGTTCTGGTTCTGGCGACGACGTCAGTCCAAGTTATCGTTAGTCCGAAGTTATATTAGATATGTTTGAATGGGGATCAAAGCTTACTTGTAGTAAAAGGACTTAGGGTTGGTATGCTTCTGTTTATTGTTTCTGAGGTTTTCTTTTTTGTTTCTTTTTTGAGCTTTTTTTGGGCACTTAAAAAGTACGGTTGGCGATGAAGTCAATCCAAATTGGAGGCTCATAATAAGTCCGGTTGGGAGCTGACGACTTCTGTTAGAGGAACAACTGCGACTGTCTCGAAAATTTGTTTGTAGCTATATTCATTTGACAACTTTAAAGGTAATAGGTCGGAAGATTAACTCCCAGGTGTGAAATTTGATACTTAGTCTACTCGATAAAATAGTATTGTTAACGATTTAGGTCAGGCTGTAGGTTAATAAACACAGCTGAGTCTCACAAGTACTTAGATGTATTAAATTGATAACATTTCAGACATTGTTATAAATATTTTTATATATTTCGATGTTTTAACCAAATGTTCGAACCGTTCTAAATTCGAATTTGTTACTGCATAGTGGTTCGATTATAGAACGATTACAATCGTTTCAGAAAATTGATCAAATTAAAAACATTTCGTTTGATTCTACGAAATTCTCATCATTCTCAACGGTAGGTGTTATATAACAATTACTATGGTTGTTGAAATACTGAATATAAATGGGGTTTACTTGCAAAAACTCTACACTTATACACAAAAATCTTTACATTATCAAAAGGTCACTTTGATATTAGTATTAATATCTATTGATAATTAAATAATATCTATGATTTATCTTACGAAGTGTCTCCTTTAAAATATGCAGGGATATCTTTATTCTATTAAGAGGATTATAATACAGGCTACGCCCCTCCTTAGTCTACTGAAGGGCATATCCCGAAATACTTCCCTGTTCATAGAATAGATATGTCTTTTCTTTAAAAAAAAATGCAGCTTTTCGTGGTATGATAGCTCCTAGAAAATAAAACTTGGATTTTTCGCGATAATCAAGATATTAAAATTTTTCTATTAGCTTATTATCTATTTTTAAAATATTAGTCATGCATATATTGTTTATACACTATTGTCGGAAATACTACAACTAACGTACAGTACAACAGACATGTTTATTGGAAGTAATAATAAATACCTTTTTGTTGTTTAGGATTTCTTCGAGTGAAATACGAATCCGAAACGAACAAATTATTATATCAGAAGCTCAGTTAAATAAAGTCCTCAGCAGGCATTTGGAACATCACATCACATATTTTGAAAATTCGAAAGTACTGTTTATGCCTTATCCAATCCGGACCATCAGACAATTCGTTAAGTAAGTTTTTCACGATACTTACCTTTCATTTAATTGCAATACATTGTCATATATTATAATTTATATTTTTTAAACAGTTATGTACAGACGGACGATCCCAGATTGAGCTCTATTACAAACGCTTTCGATCTGTATCATCTGAGTTCAAGATACGAGTTAGACCATTTAAGAAAGAAATGTAGATCATTTATCATTCGGAAAATAAACGTGAATACCGTGTGTTTAATCCACGATTTTGCACGTGAGATCGGTGATATGCTCATAACTTATTATTGCTGGCAAGCTTTCGACGAACACGGAGAAGTACTATTTACAACAGTCGACTTTAAGTGTTGTAAAATTGCAACAATTGATAGACTGCTATCTCGAGCGATATACGAATATGTCAGTAAATTGCGTTTACTCCGAGCCGTGTATCAGTGGAGCATAGAAGAAGTTAAAAGAAAATTGGGTTCAGACAACTTCCATTCGATGAATGAAGAATCGAAAAGGAATGCAATAAGAAATGTAATGGAACTATTTATTGGAAAAGTCAGATTTCTTGTCATGAATGAAGACGAATTGCAATCTTGTGTTTTTACAATGAACTTGTTAAGCGAAGTAGAAAAAAGTCATATCTGGCATGCTTTTAAATATAATTATTATTCCTTGTATCCCAGTTACTTCAGTCGAGAAACGAACAAGAACAAGCTAATTATTTATGTACGAGAACAAGCTAATTATTTTAGCTTGTTCTCGTACATAAATCGTGGAGATCCTTCTCTGGTCTCAATCAGAGAGATGAAAGGTTACATATATTTTAGCAGCGAAGTAGTTGTAAGAGAAGATTGTTTCGTCACGGCCCTTCGATTTCCGTTAAAGCTTAGCGAACGTTTTCCAATGTACGTATACGCGTATATTAACAATTTGGACAACGAACAGTTTCCGTTTGACACCGTTTGCAATTCAGAGGGAGTAGCAGAACTGCAAACGAAGTATTATCTAGAAAAATATTGGTCAATTCGTTTCTTTGCTTTCTTTTATCTCGCTGAAAATGTCGAACCCGATATCGAGTTTTCACCTGAACTGAGTTACTTTGTGAGCGACGAAGGAACAGATGCAAGGAGATTTGAAGACAAAATTCTAATCGGTGACAGAAACCTTATCAATAATATTTACTTTTCGGTTGATTTATATTTTTGAAGTCAAAAGTTTACTTGGAAAAAAGCGAAATCTGAACCAGAATATAATGTAAAGTTAAATTCGAATATGATTATTTGTTACGGGTATCACTGTAAAATGAATTTATTGGGTTTACGAAAAACAAAATTTAAATATAAAGTGCTTATTAATGTAACTTTTCTATGTCAAAAGTATATTGTCATTACACGAGTTGCTTATAATACAAAATTTAGTATTTACAAATATATCATTATTAATTAAGAACGTTTATAATTGTCAGCATTTGAATGATAATTTCGTACGTGACTTCATTTTTTATCGCAGTAGATGTTCAAGAAAAAAATATAATTACAATCTTACAGTATTAATGTTTTCTTTCTTCATGCTAATGACGATAGAAATATGAAAAGAAGAATTTTCGTCTAAATGGAAGAGCTATTCGATATCCACATTTGATTACAAATAATTAAACAGTAGCAATAATAAATTGTGTTGAGTATTTTTATGTGAATTTTATATACAAATAATGAATTTTCAATTTATAAATCATACATTTCCGAAGTTATATTGAATTATTCCAACAGAAATTCTTTTATTTAAATTAATATTTTAAATTATAATTAATATCTACAATTGAATTTCTGAAAAATGAACAAATTAATTTTCTATTATTTAATATTAAATTCTTGAATAAAATTTCAATATAAATATTAGAATACATGTAAATTACTTGTTTAAAAAATATTTAATTGCACAGAGCATGATTACATTGGTGTCCCGGCTAAGAAACACCCAAAATTTAATATTTTGTATAAAGCGCGCAATATAAATTTAATATAAATTAACTGATTTGTAAAATGTTTTCAATTGTTTTGTTGTTTAAAACATATATATTTATGGTTTTCTGAGGGAGGTAAACAACTGCTTTATTTTTAACACTCTTTTTCGGAGGAACGAATATGTGAACCTCTTTTTTCGTATCAATTATAGAGCAACATGATAGTCAAAAACGGGACCCTACGCATTAATTTTCCTTACTTAATTAACTTATCCACCATTTTGTATATTGGTATAGAAGACAGCGATTTCATAATCCACAGTTTTTGCATTACTTTTTCTTGTTTAATGCTCGTGTTAAAAAATGGATGATTTTAAAAGTTGTTCAAATTTTCTGTAGTAATTTCTATATTAAAATGTAAAAGAATAATTTTCCCTTAATTCTTATCTCGTTATTTTTGTTTTTTTCCTTTATCTCCTTCAACAATATCCTGCAACATTCGTGCATAAATTAGCAATAAGAACAAATACAGGTATACCTCGACTTACGTCGTTTCGAGTTACGTCATTCCCGATTATACGTCGTTTATCAAAAAAGTATATGGAAAAATAAAAACCGAGTTTAAGTCATTTTATTCCATTTTACGTCTGTCTGCCACAAATATTGAAGTCGTAATATCACTAGAAAAACGTTTAAAGCACATAAAATCATATTAAAATATATACTAGTATGTTCTGTATTTACAGTACACGCATTCGTAAATTTAGAATACTTTTTTCTGTACTATATTAAAAACTAAAATTTATTTGTTTGTAAGCTTAAAATAGATTTTTATTAACCATATATTATTAAAAATGCATTAATAAATAAAATACAAAACCAGGAATGGTAATTTATGGTTTAGCCTAGTGACAAGTAGATTCGGAGACAAGTAAATTCGACTTACGTCGTTTT